TAGCTGACAATGAATAATATTTTGACTACGATTTCCATGGTTAAAAAGCTTATTGGGTGTTCTGTAATGAGTCTTTTTAATGGCATTAATGAAAGAAGATAGTGTTGGTAAACTCCTAATATGGTATGGTAAACTATTCCGTAATTTAATTGTAGATGGAAAATAACTATTCATATATGATGTGGTCCTCGTCTGAGGAATAAGAAAAGTAAGACCATCATTGTTTCCTAATGAATATGAGGTTTGGGGTGGAACACAAGGTCTTAGAAGATCTTGAAGGTACTGTGGTGCTAACCCATACACTATTTTGTAAAATAATATTAATTTATGTACTTTCCTTCTGTCAGATAATGTATTCCAACCCAATTCATCATATAAAAGTGATCTTGATGAGTTCACTCTCATTCCTGTAATAATTCTTGCAGCAGTAATTTGAACTTCTTCCAATAAAGATGACTCCTTTTCATTACAATTATCCCAGACAACATCACCATATTCTAAAACTGGTCTAATAAATGACATATATATTTTAATTAGCGCATCTCGACAGAGGGAATATTTTAACATTCGTAGAACATTTAATCGTTTACATGCTTTTTCATAAGTAATCTGTATGTGAGATTTCCAATTGGCATCACACTGAAAATTTAGTCCCAAATGTGTGTGATTGTTCGATGGTTCAATCAATGGGCCATTTAATCCAAATTTAACATTGGGATGAGAAAAATGATTTCTGGAAAAATTTACATTCACTGTTTTCTTAGGGTTAAAATCAACTTTCCATTGTTTTGACCAATGATCCAACTTTTCTAAATCATTAATGAGTTTGCAGCACTGACAATGTCATTATCAACAATAATGTAAAGTGAAGTATCATCAGCAAATAAGCGGACATTATTTGTTAAATTTGAGGAAATATCATTTATATATAATAAAAATAAGAAGGGACCTAGGACAGATCCTTGGGGGACACCTGCACTAGTTGGTCTAAGAGTTGATGTATAACCATCAAGAACCACCCTTTGTCTTCTATTTACTAAATAGTTTTTGACCCAATTTAAGATTTGATCTGATATTCCAATTTCCTTTAGTTTAAATATAATGCCTTCATGCCAGACCCTATCAAAAGCTTTAGAAATATCACAAAACACAAACCGTACATCCCGACCTTTATCAAGGTTGGATATAATAGTATTATAAATTTCCACCAACTGATTACTGGTTGAGTCACCAGTTTGAAAAGCAGACTGGAACTTATATAGTATATCATTCTCAAGTATATAGTTGTGCAGATGCTTGACAATAATTTTTTCTAATGACTTGAGGTGAAACACCATCAGGACCTGATGGCTTACATATATTGATGATTTGTAACTGGTCTAAGACTTCATTTTCTGTAATTCTAAATGTTTCCATATGATGGAAGGGGGGACCTGGTCCATGGGGTGGTAAATCAGGCTCATCGTTACTGCAAGAGATATCTGTAAAGAATTTGTTTATGGCATTGGCCTTGTCTATGGGATGAAACAGCGTTTGGCCATCGACCTTAAGAGGAGGTGTTGGCTTATGTTTATTGTTTAGTTTGGATAATGATTTCACTATTCTCCACCAATTACCATATATAAGGGATAATCAACTTGGTATTGATGAATAATGTGCTAAGTAAAAGCATTAGCCTGTTTATTTGTAAAATGAAGTGGTAGAATGACTTGTTTACTCAGTGGTTTTTAGTCGAAATATTCAGTTAATCTCTAAACCTGATAGTCAATTTATATCTTTGTCTTGTGCAACATAACATACAATTTATTACAATTTTTACAACTGTATATTTTAAACACCATTCCATGAATCCGTGGTAATTTTATATTCAGGTGACCTTTAAGGCCTTCAGGCCTCTTGTCGATTTAAGCTCGTATATTTTATCATTCCCTTCACAGGGGCAGTTCTATCGCTGGCATCGTCATTGGAATAATTGTGGTTGTCGCCATTCTGGTCTTTGTTTGTGTCCTCATTAAAAAACACCAGACTAGGAGAGCAGGAAGGGTGTTGAACAGCGTCCCTGCCACCACAGTCACCACCGTACACCAGGGACCACCACCACCACAACCACCACAAGGTATTTTGGAGATTTTTGCGGAACAGCATTGCGGAACGTGTCTTTAATATAGTTACAAAAATAATACCTTAATGCAATGGATTGATACTAGTATCAGTCGGAAACAGCTGAAGTTAGGTGGGGGCTCAAATTTGGAGGACAAGCGATTCACGTATTTTATAAACTTTAAAAGGGTGGTTGATTAAATATTTCACAAATTTGTTTATTTAACTTTAATTTCCTAAATTGCAATTTCGATCATATTCTTAGAAAGTCATAAGATCTTAAGTTCTTGAGACATCTTACATTACATTTCAGGAATTGGTTATGGTGGTCCTGGGATGTCCCAGCCGTACAACCCTAACGCAGGCTACCCTCCTCCCGGTCCCCCTACCTATCCACCCCCTCCGGGCCCGGGGGCTGGTTACCCGCCACCAAGTTATCCCCCACCGAAATACTAGACGTGGGTCAAGAGACTTCTCAATCCCACTATATTGCAACAAAATAGATGTTATCTTGTCATAGAAAATCATAAAACAAATTTAGGAAAATTTAATTTAGGGGCCAAAACTCACTTACAAAGTTGTCCTACATGGTTTCTACAGTTTATATGTACTGATTTGGTATCATTGATGACCTTTGATGCAATTTCATGTTTGTCAATTTTGAATTAAAACTTTGAAAAAAACTGAAATGAAGTAAATGTTTAATAAAATTTCTAAATGCGAGATATTATATAAAAATAATATGAATCTCATATCATGTATAATGTTGTTTAATTTTATAGTATGTTATATTTGTTTTGTTGTTTTATCCATAAGTCGTATAAAATATCCTAGTTTTTGCTGTATTTTTCTTTTAATATTTCACAATTTTATGTACAACTTATGTTGAAAAAGCGGATATTTCTGATGTCATAAAGCAATTGGTGGGGAAAATTTGTATTAAGTAATTATAGTTATAGTTATTTTACAGCTCCCTCTCATAGATCCATTTTAAGATCTATATATGATACCAATTAATAAAATAAATATAAAAATAAATACTTTTTACATGGTTATTTTCGTCCTGTGGTATTTTCGCTCTTTTACATTTGCTAACAATTTTGCCCCGTTTTTAATTCGCCCTGTCACAGTTCTGATTAAAATTTTATATTGTGTTATTTGAGTTCACCCTGTTTTAAATTCGCCAACTTGTAACAAGGGCAAAAGGCGCGAAAATATCTCTGTATACAGTACTCATATGAATTTATTTGTATAATAACAAATTTATAAAATATAAAACAAAATGTATAGCGTTGTTAAATTCTATAATTCTTCTTACATATGAGCTTTAAATTCAAAACTGCACTATATGAAACATGGCATAAAGTAAGAGATTAAATATTAAAAATACCAAATTAACTTACATGTATTTATATTTAACGTCATCTGAGTCACTCAGGTGGCCTATCCGTTTTTGTTTGCCGTCGTCCGTCACGTGATAATATTTGAAGACTTTCAGCTTATTCTCTGAAACCGCGAAACCAATTTCAGTCAATTTTAGAATATGATATTGGTATTTGAAGGAGAGTAAAATTTGTGCCTAAATCAACAATATTAGTGCTATCTTTAAAAATATTCTTCTTACTCTTGTACATGCCTGATTGTTATGATTGTAATAAAAATTGAATCTTTTGCCAAAATTGTGAAGTTCATGGCTCCATGCAGGGTCAGGGGTTTTGGTGTTAGGGTGGGCAGTTGCACCCACCATTGAAATAACGACCAATACTGAAATAATTATTTCAATAGTGGTTGAGAGTGCATTTTAATACCAAACATAGTATACAACCACTATTGATATAATAATTTCAATAGTGGTTGAGAGTGCTTTTCAATAACAAACATAGTATGCAACTGCTATTAAAATACGACCATTATGGAACAATTATTTCATTATAGTGGTTGAGAGTGCATTCCAAAACCAACCATAGGTTGCTACCAGTAATAAAATAATGTTCACATTTGAAATAAAGTTTTCAATATTTTGTTTCTAAATGATGACTTCAAAAGTGATTTAAATAATTATTTTGATAGTTGCTGATAATATAACTTAAACCACATTACTAGACTTATTGAAACAACTTAACTATTTAAAAAATACAAGGATTAATTGTTCTTCATGTTATCCAACATTTTTAATTCATTTTTTGAGTTTACTATTAAAATTACGACTACTTGTGAATGATTATGTTTTTAAAAAAGTTGAAAATACGTTTCAAAAAACCACACTACCACATTTTAATCACTATTGAAATAAAACATACCATTTTAAGAGGCATTCTCTGTAATGATTTGAAATTTTATATAGGAGCTGTGGCACGCATAGTCTCAGAATTTCTCCAAACTCTCTATGATAAAAGTCATTGATAATCTAAACTGAAATCAGGCAAAAATTGGTTGCTATGTTTTATAGTTACCATGGCAACATGTCTTAAAGTTCTAAAAATGCCATTTTTTAACATGTTTAGAGTCCCATAGTTAACATTTGCGGCAAAAGAAATAATTGGCAATGACTGTTTCCAAAAGGTGAAGGTCAGATGTCTCAAATGCATGAAAAACATGTTTGGTAAATCAACTATTACATACGTTACTATGGTAACAAAGTATTCAAAAGTAACAAAAATATTCATTGAATTTTATAAAGTCATACACGTAAAAATAAAAACCAATTATAGGATAAAATGTGACCAAGTAATAGAAAAAAGAGCCTTGAAACATATACCAAGAACAAAATATGATATTTTCTTTTGGTTGGCAATGGTTGCCAAGGTTTTTATACCACAGAGAGCCTTCAAAGTAACACTCTGTTTGTTTAAATCTGATCCTATCTTGTAAAAAAGCACATTTCCTCATAACTAATGATCAATTTTTAAAGATGTGGGTGTGCTCGTAGTTTTCCCATTTGAAAAAATTCAGATTAGATTCTTTATAGAGCGTTGCTATGGAAATAAACAGAAAATATATGCTTAAAAACCTGAAAAATATTTTCTTTCCTTGGATACGTACCCTTAAATGTAGATTCCCAAAACTTTTATGATTGATATTTATTAACAGCTAACCTGAATTTTAATTTTGACTATCATCCAATCTCTAAGTGGATGCAAGAAGTTGGCACACAGGGTTTAATATTGATATAAAGTTCACAAAATCGAACATTTTCCTTTCTTGGTAACCATAGCAACAGTGCTGTTTTTTTCATCAAATTTTATCAATATATGATATTCAACTTCAGTTCTAACAGATAAGTACTATTCAAGCTGAGTCCTTTAAGGTGATTCAAACCTGTCATGAAAGTAATTGGAATTTTAAAAGATGGTTACCTTCGGATAAAGGAAAAGTTTGTGGTTTAAGAAACATAAAAAAATATGTATGTTAATGCGCTCGTTTCCATGGCAACAACCTCTGAATATGCCCTTGTTTGAAAATGTAAAATCTGTGATAAAAATCCCACTGCCAGTAATTAAAAAAAGGTATCAAAAAACTTACAAATTATAATCAGAATTTATTTATTTTCATGTATAAAAAAGGGTAACAGATCAACATCATCTTGTCATTTTTACACATAGAAAGTGCATTCCAACAACATTCTACGACAGCCTGAATTTCCTCTGTCGTCTTAAAAATTGTCCATTTTTTCTTAACCTTGACAACAAAAATGGTTATAAAAACACACTAAAAGAAATTGGATATTCATTTTCTAAACTTTACTTTAAATAAGAGATATATAGCTAAGTAACAGAGGGGAGAAACTGGTATGGTCATGAGTCAAATAAAAAGATATTCTAATCCGAATTTCCTCTGGTCTATTTTAAAAAAAATTACCCCGAAATACATATATTGGCAATTGAGGCTATACAACTTAATCAAAATTAATCAATGTCAATTCATTTAATAAAACATGTTAAAAACTAACTTTAAATAACACTTTTGAAGAAAAAATAAAGTAAAATTTGAAGAATTTGAAAATTTACATTCAATTTCCGAATTTCCTATGCTTTTTTTTTAACCTTAAACTTTTGAATTGATTCTTGGCGAATTAAACAAATAACACAATCTCATGATATAAAATTTTTCATTATTTTTTAAAGGTTTTATATGTGTTATACCTGATTTAGAAAATAATACTGACATATTTGCACAGTTCAGGTGAAAAAAAGTGCACATTACAAATCCGAATTTCCTCTGAATTTTTTAAAACAACAAACCAATAATGTAAAATGTTTGCCTTAATAAAAACAAGAAATCTGTGAGCCAATGCTCACTAGTAATACCCCCGCTCTGATGTAAATAAGCACTATCATGTTAATATACACAAGTTCAATTACAGGCAGATGCACAGAAAAATATGAAGTTGACATCAGATTCATATCAAAATTAATTCCACCATATGGCATGCCTCAACAAAGAGTGTAATAAAATTTCAAGCATCTGCTATGAATAGCTAATGAGAAAACTGAAACGAAAATTTGTTATATGTGAAGCAGACAGACGCACAGACAAACAGGAAGTTGATAACCGATTTGAAAAAAAAAAATGTAGATAAACATTTGGCATACCTTAGAGAAGATTGTGTTAAAATTTCAAGCATCTACAATGAGTAGAAACTGCGATGAAAATTTGTTATGTATGAAACGGACAGATGCACAGACAAACAGAAAGTTGACATCGGATTTGAGCCAAAATGTATCCTATCATATGGCATGCCTCAGAGAAGATTGTGTTAAAATTTCAAGCAACTATGATGTGTAGTTGCTGAGAAAACTGCGACGAAAATTTGTTTCGGACGGACACACAGACAGACAGATAGACACACAAGGGTAAAACAGTATACCCCCCTCTCCTTCAGAGGGGGGGGGGATATAAAAAAAATATATATCCATGGACTGACCTTTCCCTGCCATTTAAAATAGTATATATCATATTGGAATATGGAACATAACGATATACATGTACATATGACCCAATTTCAGTAAATTAAGAATAAGATTGACGGTTTACAATCCAAATTTCCTCTTTCTGAACACACACACACACAAAAGGAATTTTTAAGATTTTTTTAATAATCTAGAAAAAACGAATGACATAAATGACAAAACACTTATATAACATTTTTGAAGAAGTTTTCCCATTATATCACAAATATAATATTTTTATCAATATGCCCTGAAAAACTGCTTAATCATGCCCGATATAGTTATGTTCCACTGGAAACAGTTATATTGCCCTCCCGAACACATTTATGTTCCCTTGCGTGCAATCATTCTGCATATTAAATATGTTGGGTTTGAAATTTACAGAGGCAGTTGTTAAGCAAATGTAAACAGTTCTGCTAAAATTAAAAAGTCTGGACAACATCTGTAATTTGTTTATTTGAATTTAGATGAATTAAATAATTTAATTGAGGAGACAAAATCCTTAAATACAACAAAGGTTATCAACTTGTCAGTAAACTGAAAACTCTCTGCCATGAAACAGGACGGGATATTTCTGAATTATACTCAACGTACATGTTTACATAGGCCTAGTGTTCAATAAATATGTTCGATGATCGATTAGGGTTCAATGATTAAAAATGTTATATACCATATATTACATGGCTTAATTCTTGGGCATTAATACCAGAATATTTGCCCCTCTGTGACAGGAAAGCCCTGGAGTGTTATGTCGCCCTCTGCTTTCGGCATTGGGCAACATAACACTCCAGGGCTTTCCTGTCACCGAGGGGCAAATATTCTGGTATGCTGCCCTTGAAGCCATGTAATATATGTATAATGTATCATTGCTTAACTTTTGCAAGCTTAAACTTAGGAATAACATAAATGGGCACACTGAATGGAAAAAAGACAGATTTAGTATTACAAAAGTTCCTCAAAAAGTATATCATTTACATGTATGCAGCAGGTCTGTTCATATAGAAGTGCTTTAAATCTTATGGGAGGTTCTGACACAAATGCTTCTTCCCTTTATTTTTCCAACTTCAATCTTGACTTTCTGTGGCTTTCAATTGGTAAAATTCTGATGAACAATAAGGTCTTTCATTGCAGCTTGAATGTAAACACCTCAGTCATGTTGACATGTGGCCAAATTCAACACAGATGAGATTCTTTGCCTGAAAAAAAATACTTTACTTCAGTTACAGCCTTATTGACAGGTGGACACATAATATACATGTGATAATGTAACATCTTTTAAAAAATTACCTATTACTGACTGATTATTGATATTCTAATAGTAATAGTTCCAATGAAATAAAAATAGCATGATACTTACAAAATAATATTTACATTCCACATGTATTTAGCCTATGAAATGCATAGAATTTGGGGCATATAATACAACATTACATTGACAGTAAGCTCAAAAGGTAAATATTAAGTTTTTTCAATTTTATGTTTATGTCACAAACCTTGAATACCATGCAACATCATATGGGAAAATGAAAATTCACTCTCAAATTGAAGAGTTTAACATTCATTTAGTAGATTTGGCATGGCTCTTTCATTAATTTAAACTTACCCCAGGGATAATACAAAGGATTTTGAATTACATTAATTTTGCAGATGATACAGGGAGTTAAAATATGCTGTATTCTTTGAATTCGCCCAACCGAGGTCAGGGTGAAAGGGGCAACAATAAAACAGGGTGAAAATTCCGATATACAGTAATATGTACATTTTATCAGTCTGACATGTACTATAATTATTTTAGCAAGTTCACCTTTTAAAATTTGAAATGTTTATCAATTTAGAATTATAATTTTTTCATACCCAGCCAGATGGTTTAAGCATCACAGTTGTCTTTTAGCACATCTGGATCAAAGGGATTATACTGCAAAGTGTTGACTCAGGTTGTACATTTTGACTGCTTACTGATGGAAACTCCAGTCTGTTCCTTTGGCGGTTATTAAAAACCTATCGAGAAAACAAATCACTTATCTGACAGTATTCAACTTACATGTGAATTTCATAGACTTCTCTGAAAATTTTATAGACCTTCCTTTTTATAAATTACTTCCGAACAAAAACTAATAAATGAATGTGTGCTGTAAACAAGAACTTAGAATCAGTGTCCTCAATAATGTTTCATAAAATGAGAATACATGTAATATAATAATTGGTCAACTGTTTTTTTTTTTCTTTTTTTGTTTTTTTTTTTACAAAAAGACTTTTTATCATGTTATTTTACACTGCGTGTCATTACATCAAGTTTGTAGGAAAGACATCAACTCATATTTTAAAAATTATAAACATGGGAGCTATTTTTTTCAGTCACTCAATGACAAATCATGAAATGTGCATGATTTTTTGCTATTTTCTCATGCGTGTGAATAAATTCAATATTGTTTTAAAGGACAAGTACAAAATATCTTTATCACGAGAATAAGAACTCACTGCATCAATGGTGTCATTCTCATTGACTCATTCTACATGTTCTATGCACTGCCCATAGCAGCCATGTGAATTTTTTTCCCTTCATTATCGAGATGAGACAAAAGCGTACATAGATCATATTATACTTCTGCATTTACTCGATTAGCTAACCTTTCATCATGATGTAAATAAACTGTGTCTTCTTAGAAGACATTACGTACTAAACATAGTGAACAAGAAGGCTCGGTTGGAACGTTTTGTTGGATTTACCTGAAAATCATGGTGTACATCTTGATCTTGTCGTGCAGGTTGTACCTAGAAATAAAATCGCCTGAACGGTTGTTGCAAGGTACCAAACAGCATAGATCAGTACACTTCTTGGATACAAAAACAACCGAATAAAGTGTTTTTTCTTTGAAAATAAAAGAGACTGTCTCTCTGTCAACATGGTGGCGGAAAACGGCCAGGGAATTGTCGTAAATTCCTAATGTCGGAAGAAGACTCGAAAAGCCAATGTTGAATGATTTTATCAGAATTCTATTGAACATTACTTTATTTGTCTATCAAATCGTTGCTTGTGGTCCATCAAATTACTTTTATAACAAAATGAGACGTAATTATTAGTATCACGACATCAGCAGTGATCAGCCTATTTTCAGCAGTTCGAGTTGCGCGGTAGATTTGATTTCGTAACGTTCGAATCACCTTAATTTGTTTCTTGATTATATGGCAATTTAATGCCCTGTTCACACGGAGAGTTTAATTCGCAGTAAATTAATGCGAAGTAAACTAATGCGAATTAAAATAATGCGAATTAAATTGCGTTCACACGGCAGCTAATTCGAAGCAAACTAATGCGAATTAAAATTTTACTTCTGCAGCCCGGCGTCAGCACGGCTATTATGACGTCATTTGCAGATCACGTCACCTTATGCAGAAGCAGATCCATTTGACGTAATGGCAAAATGTCTGTATGCACATTTTGATGATTAACAAAATTTTCCTTAGTTTTTCACTCACACACAAGTACCTATAGCTGACCACCGACAAGTGGCATTTGACTAAATTTTGCCATTACGCATGCGTCAGAATTTAATTCGAATTAGCTTCGCTTAGCGTTCACACGGAGCTAATGCGAAGTAATTTAATGCGCAGTAAACTAATTCGAATTAAACTAATTCGCATTAAATTCTCCGTGTGAACGCTAAGCGAAGCTAATTCGCAGTAAACTTACGTTTAATTCGAATTAAACTCTCCGTGTGAACAGGGCATAATTCTGAATGCAGCGAAAAATAATTCACTTTTAAGCACTGGTACTTTGTTTCCATGGTAACACTGCAAAGTAGCAATTATACCCAATTTTTCTTATGGTTTTGGTGTTGCAAGGTCCTAAGGATGCATATTTGCCAGTCTTGAGTTTTCATGTTTTTCCTCAAAACAGTAGCATTAACCCAATCTTAGTTACTGGTTTTGCATGGTTACACTGTGTTACCATGGCAACCATAAAAGTTATTTATAGAATAATATTGCTTATACTTATATACTTTAGATCAAACATTTTCATTGTTTTTCTTAAGTCGTTGATTGAGTTTGAGCATGTAACACCTACCATTAGTGAATACGGAGTGTTTTTCAGCATACTTCAGCATTTTAAATGTATTCCAAATGTACCCTTGGTTACCACTTACTTAGAGATATATCCTAAACAGTTTCTTTACAGTATAAGTGACATCAAGGTGTCATGTTTTTGTGAGAATGGTTTGTTTGCTTTTTCTAGATTTTATTAAGCCACTGTCAAGATTTAAAGTGCCTGAAAATCTCGATTTTTCAAACTTTTCCGGCTGTTGCCATAGCAACCGAGACACTTAGCAACGAAATGTTGTTTGATATTTGTTTCTGGTGTCAAGTACTAAGCATGGGTGAAGTTTCATCAAAATCGGTGCCATGCGTGGCAACGAAGTTTAAGTGGTTACAGAGAATGTCAATTAATAAACATAATATTAACTTCCCTAGAAATTTTGCTTTTTAATGTCTTGACAAGTTACTATCCGTATTTATAGTGTAGGTAATACCATGAATATGAGCGACAATTTAGTTCTACTCTAAATTAATTTTATAAAAAATATCCACATATTCATAAGAAAGTTTGTGCACAAAATTATCTCTCCTCTTCCTTCATTTCAACGTAGTCAAAATATTCCAATTTCTATATTTACATGTTTGTATAATATTTATGATCCTTTCATTTCAAAATCAATGACAAAAATGATCTTTATATAAAAATTATTCCAAAATTACATCTAATAATTGATTGTCTGTTGGTGTTCGCTGATTCGGCCGACCATATTCAGCGGGAGCTTGCTTATAACATTTGAATTATACAATGTAGGTAGGTTAGTATGATAAAAAGTGTCCGTGGATTAATCGCAATTGATAATTAAAGAAGGAAAACAAAACTTTTGTTATATTTTTGAACTCCATCAATAATCTATTGTGATAGAAAACATAATGTGTTATTCATCTTCAGAATTGTTTTTAAATTTGTGATAGAGCTTGAAATGTGGTTTTGGTATTGAAATCATTGTCAGCAACTATCTATTAATTTAATATCTATTGGAATCCTTGTTTAAAGCACTATTGAAATCAATATTTCAATCAGTTTTGAAATTCATATGTTAATCACTATTGAATTATTTCTTTCAAAAGTGAATATTATTTCAACAAAGGTTGCAACCTATGTTTGGGATTGAAGTACACTCCAAGCCACTATTGAAATAATTATTTCAATAGTCCATGGTCGTATTTCAATAGTGATTGTGTACTATATTTGTTATTGAAATGTACTCTCAAACACTGTTGAAATAATTCTTTCAATACTAGTGGTCGTCATTTCGATAGTGGTCGCAACAGTGTGGCTTTGTTGATCATGTAGTGAAAACGCATGAATCATTTGAAAATTTTCTTCTCTGCCCCTGTCATTGGTATTTTACTAATGAGCTATGCAAAAAGTTATGAAGAAAGATGCTTCTTTCAAAATTGTGAATTTCATGGCTTACATGTACCTCTACGTTATCCTTTTTTAACCGCCTCTGTAATTTTCGAGGATCTGCGTTTAAATTAATGTCCTATGCACAAATTTAAATTGTTTGTAGATTTCTTTAGATCAGTCACACTGTTCGTTACCGTTAATTAATGTGACTTTTTCTCATTTTTGTCAAAGTCTTCCAACTATTCACTGATATGGAGGTACACACACTAGTATATAAACTACAATGAATTAATTTATTTTAAAATGGCAGATGAAGACGTGCATTTTATTTGGTAAATAAAGGGAGCCTATGACAAAAATGGTTTCAGAATCTGGTCATTAACAAGTTGGCTGTAAAATGAATAACGTCAAAACAATTATTTTTTAATGAACCTGCAAACCCAGTAAAAGGAATTTTCCAAGTACGGGCTTTTCATACATGTAGAAACTCAATAGTAATTTTTCAAACACATCAATCATTTGAAAAAAAAAAATGCTTTGAGTAAAGTTTGTCGAATATCTGTGTTTGTATATGTGGTTTTATATTTAATAATAAAAGTTAATGAATGGTTTATATAATAAACTTTTCCTTCAAGTTGTAAATGAACATTAGATATAAGTCGAAAAATAATTTTCGTCTTCACAATAAATTTATTTATCGACAAAAGTCACATATATCGTCCTACATGACAGTTGGTTTTCTTCTAAAGATCTCTATTAATGTGTAAGTATTTTAAATTGTCGTTTTTTATTTTAGTTTACTCATGTATGAATGCTTATAAATGGGTATCATGTGCACGATTCTATTGTGAGGTAAATCGGATTAAAAGTTACTGTACTAAATGAATTCTGTCACTAAATCAGCTCGAGCCAGGAACGATACAAGATGGCGGCGACCCTAAGCCTGGGAATCTGGATTTTTCTTCTATCTATATGTAAGCAAAGATTATATCTACAATCATTTAATTTCTATATTAAACGATTTATTTGCAAGGACCTGGACTACTTAAAGTTGTGTTATAGAATTTAGGATATATTTTAATTTGTTTAATACATTTCGTAATCGTTAAAACATAAAATTCTACTTATTATCAAACCGGCACTATAGTTTTACTTTATCCTCAAAATAATTACTTAATGTATTTTAATTTATTAGGAAATACAATGAAAAGGCACACCACATTAGTTTTCACCCAAATTAAACATATATTCGTTCTTTTTAAAGAGAAAAAAAACCCTTACAAATCAATGGATTACACAGTACAGCAAGATATTAAATTTAAACACTCTGGATTATATTAACTATTATAATACTTTTCAAGTGTCAGAAATGAAATAGTACGTTTCTTAGACTGCTTGACCAACCATTTTAAAGAAATTAGTTATCAATTTATAAAAATTTAAACAAATTCAAACATGGAGATGGATTACATTGAGCAGCTCCCTTATACTGAAGCAAAATTAATCAAATACATGTATATGACGTTCATTCAAATTTATTTAGTTGAAAGTATCATAAATATGTGAAGTAATAATACTAGTATATAAATGTTGAGTGGTAATTCAAAAAGATATGAAGACGATGATCAGAAATGAAGCTAAAAAATCTATTTATTTCAGGCCAGCATGTCGCCGAGGCTGGTTATTACTGCTACTATTCATACTACTACTACTCCTATAGATGTAGTTATTACTCCTATTACGTTGGGTGAGTAGAATTTCTATCGATATTACGTAAATAACTTTTTGTTTATGATAGTTTTTTGTAGTTACATTCTGGACTCTATTAAAATAAAAAACAACTACCGTGTCTGGTCATTATTTCTTTTTATGCGGTTTGGGCATCAGCAACATGCACAGTACACAAGGGTTGTATTGGGATAAGAATCAGAGTATACAGAGGCTGTATGGGCATATGAATCAAGGGCTGTATTGGCATAAAAATTGGGCAGTATGGGCATATAAATCAAAATACACAGGGGCTGTTTTGGCATATGAATAAAAATACACAGATTTTTTATTAGAGTACAAAAGAGCTGTATGGGCATTAGATTCAGAGTACTCAGGGATTAAATGGGCATAAGCTTCAGAGTACACAGGGATTATATGGGCATAAGATTCAGAGTACACAGGGGTTGTATGAGCATAAGCAACAGAATACTGGTAGATCAGCAAAGTTTCCACTCGCTATTTTTATATATTTTACTGAAATCATAAAACTTTCAACTAACAATCGAACCACTTTTACAATGTTTTTTTTTTTAATTTTGATATCCATTCTTTGGTGTGCGAAAGTCTAGAAGGTTCAAGAAAAAAATGGAAAATGAAAGTTAAGGACTGATGAAGTAATAAATTAATGGCCCTCTATCGGCAAGTGGTGGCGTGTCCACATAACTTAAAATTCTCGAAAAAGACGGTAAACAACAAACAGATGACTGCTTTTAAATTTCTCTCAACAGAAGCGACGCTGGGTCCATCGCTGGAATCATCATTGGAATGATAGTAGTCACAGCCGTCATTGTTGTCGTCTGCATCATCATAAAAAAGAAACAGGCTGCAAGAACGGGAAGGGTGATGAACAACATCCCTGTAACTACAGTCACCACCGTGCATCAGGCACCACCGCCACCAGGTATTTATGGAAAGATCGTCTGATTAGTATTTTTATCAGAATGAATTTTTTAACATTAAGGATTGTCATTAATTTGAGATGAAATGTGTGTGTGTGTGTAAAGGGGGGGGGGGAGGTGTCAAAAAATTTCAAATGAAATCCAAATTCTAGAATTTTGAAAATGTGTTCTTTGATTATTTCACTCAAAACTATTTTATACTGTAAGGAATTTGAAATTTTGATCTTATCTGTATATTCTTGCTTTTACGCAAATAGAGCCTATATTTGAACACATTTTTCTAGCTTTACATTAAAAGCTTCCCAGCTCTCTTCTAATTTAATACATGTGTTCAATACAATAATGTCCCCATCACCTCACCGTCCAAAACTGTTATTAATCTAATGATATGAGTTTTAATTTTTCAGCTGGATACGGATACGGTGGTCCCGGAATGTCGCAGCCACCCAACCCTAATGCTGGGTACCCACCTCCCCCAAATACTTATCCACCCCCTCCAGGCCCCGGGGCTGGCTACCCGCCTCCGGCGTACCCTCCACCTAAATACTAGACCAATGGAGCACGACACAACCGAAGACAAGCTGGATTTTCAGGAAATAGAACGTCATATAACGTATATTTTCTCCTAGTTATCTCCCTTGGCTGCCATCTTGATGGCCAACATAGTAATTTTCCTCTTTTTCTAATCAAATTTTGGAGATGTAGCAAGGAATATTTCAGGAAAAATATTCATGGAAAAATGTGAAATAAAGGAGGCTCTAACAAATTTATATTTTTTGGAAAAACAATGCTTCTTACTCTACAATCGCAAGTTTATAAATTTCGAGTTCGGTTGAATAATGAAGGAATATAAGCATGTTGACCCCAACATGGCGGCCAAAGGAAGTAGCTCTGTATATTTGGGCGTACTGAAAACTATCTCTTCTTCACACCTTGATTGTCAAAGCTCTATTTCAAACGTGGACATTTTGTCGAGTACTTTATTTTGATTTTATTTTGTCAGAATCTTATTACCTGGTAATCAGGACGACTAAATCTTGACATGAAGTATTGTATTATGAATTTGCTGTTTTGTTTTTTGTTGTATTGTATGTGCATTATCAATTAAACTTGTTTCATGTTGAAATACCTTTACTGTTATAAAAAAAAAGAAGGACTCTCCATTTCAATACAACAGAAAATCCTTATTTTTGTAAGACCTTTAAATGATCTGTTGTAAAGCATTCATCATTTGCATGCCTTGGTTGTGAGGATTGAGGGTGGTGTTCATGACCATGGGTGGAGTTGCACTCTATCTAGAAAGAAGTGAGGATGTTTCGCTGAAATTGTCATTTTCCTGTCTTATCATAAAGGGAAAAGTTTTTAGATGTTGCATAAAATATATTGGCTTTACATAATATCGAGCTGGTTTGTAATTTTGTTAAATGTCCGAGTTCGATTTTAATGGTTTACAAATGCCAAACAATATAAAGTGGATTTTTAGATATAATTTTGATCTTGAAATTGTAGAAAGATCTATATAAAATCGTATCTTAAATGAAATGCAATGTTAACTAAAGTGAAATTCATTTATTCCAAGGAATTACAATTTTTTTAATCTTACAAAGGTCGATCGACGTGTAACGCACACGAAGATAATGAAACTAGTCCATAAAAATGAAACTAATTTTCATTCATGTCCAGTTCACTTTATCAGTTCGATATTCTCGACATCGCAATAACGACAATGTTGACACGATATTGTGATTAGATTGTCTACATTTTTTTTTATTTATTATGAAAACATTGCAGTGTACACGATGTTGATGCGATATCCCTTTTACAACGTCTACATTTTTATAATTTTTTCACTGTATGTCAACATTGTCGACTTCGCAATGTAAACAATGTTAATGCAATATCGCGTTTCTTTCGTCTACATTGTTATTGTTTCTATATGAAGACATCGCAATGTAAACAATGTTGATGCGATATCGCGTGTACATCGTCTACATTGTTTTTATTTCTACATTGTATGTCGACATCGTCGACATCGCAATGTAAACAGTGTTGAAACGATATCGCGTTTACATCGTCTACATTGGTCTTGTTTCTACCTGTCGACATCGTCGACATCGCAATGTAAACAATGTCGATGCGATATTGCTTTAAATACCGGTATACCGGTATTATTTCTATTGTGAAGGAAAATAATATACGTCACTTATATAATATGATGTTATGCGTTAAATGTGTTGTCAACAATTAAACCAAGATAGATAAATATAAAAGGAAACGTAATGTTGACATGATGTCGACTTCATATAGGCCAACACAAATATGTAGACAAGAGAATAAGATTGCAATATTCACACAATATCGACCAACGTGGCTGTGTCGACGATGTGAGCGATGTAAACAAGATTTTTTGAAAAGGGCAATGTTGACAAGATGTTGACTCGATATCGACCAACACTGCGATGTCAACGATGTGAACGATGTAAACAAGAAAAGGAAGAAGGGCAATGTTGACACAATGTCGACTCGATATCGACCAACATTGCGATGTCGACGATGTGAACGATGTGAACAACAGAAAACGGGAAGGCAATGTTTACATGGTGTGGACTCATTATCGCTTAAGAAAGTAAAATATAGAGAGATAAACAAAGGTATTATATCCAGCATTGTCATGTTGAATATGTTATGATATTAGGAGGACTGGTACTTCACTGCGATGTCGACAATATCGAAAAAACATCGTGCACTGGACGTACCTCCTAATTTTCTTTGAAATTTTGTGTGGCTTCTCCTTTCAATAAAATATGAAAAAATTATCACACAAGATGAGGAGCCACGTGCACTGATTAGCCAAAAAGTCCAAACTGTGGTTTGGGTATAGTTAGCTACATGCACGTAGCAGGGTTACACAGAACTAGGTACATGTATAATTAAAACTTGTTACATAACAAAATCAATAAAATGACAAATATTGGATATGAATAATACATGTCACGTAAAGGTTATTTTTTGTATTTTATATAAATAATAACTTATATAAGCCAATGCAAAATCATTGTCCAAAATGAATGTCGTCTATATCATAACTGGATATAATTTGATCAGTTGTTTCGATGCCGCTGTGTTTCGCGTTGAGAAACTAAAATTTTACAACTTTTCAAAAAACAAAAAGACATCTTGGTCGAAGTCATAGTTTTAGATTCATGCCTGATGAAAAGCATGGTCAAAATTTCTTCGTTATACTGTATACGTATTTCAACCTCAATTCTTCCGATTGTTGAGCTATACCGCGTAGAACTACATCTGTGTAAGCTGAAAGGTTTAACTTTAAGAATACTAGTCTAGTATTTTTAGAAGAATTCTTTGTTTGGAAGTTTAAATCACCAATCGGAGTATGTGAACAAATTTCAAAATGGTTTCAAATGACTTAATTCCAAGTTGTTTCTAAATGATTTAAACTCAATCAAGCATATTTTTCTAGATTTAATGTCCAAACAACTTCCAAGTTGTTTCCCAATATTTGTTAACTAAAGATAACAATGAAAATGTAATAAATATAAAAAGCTAAAAGCTATATTTCTTTGGCAACCTTTAATGTTAACTTTCATTTTTATTAAAACAGACATGCATCCTGGTAAAATGGTATACTGTAAAAATAAAGATATAAATAGAATTTCAATTTATTTATTGCACTTACAAATATTATTATTTATTTTGTAATAATAATGACAATTGTACTTAACTGAATCAACTTTACTAACACCAAGAGGAGAACTTGTAAGTTGTAAAAGCTTGTTTCTCGTCCATTTGTGTTATACAATAACAAAGTACATGTATATTCATATTGTGTAAAAAATTTTAAATAAAAAAAATTACAGAATTTTCACTGATATATTTTGCAATATTCAAAACAAGTCACGATGAAAGAATGTCAAAAATTCAAGTATTTCCGGAGTACATGAATTAACAAATTTAAAGTGTTTCGAGATGAATAAAAAAATCTTCATATACATGTAATATTGATACGTTTCAAACACATTCAGCCATAATCAATCTAATAGTCATGTTGTTTTATAAAGAAAAGTAAAAAGCATACCAAAGGAAAACAAACGAAAAAAGAATACCGAAAACTGTCCATTGACAAGCTATCCAAAGCACTACACCTGTATTATGCAATTTTGAATTATTAATCCCTGATTTTTCAAGAGGCCATAAATAATCATGACTAAAGCAAGTGTAAAGTGACTTTAACAAAATATATACACAACCCTCATGTACTTATGATGAATGTTTACTCTTTTCTGATTGTTACACTCATTCGAAATACACAAAGAAATTTAAAGCGTGTCCATTTCACATAAAAAATATGGTTGGAGATATAGTCATTATTTGTCTTGCGCATTTGAGTTTAAATTTTTCTTGTGACCCCCAGTTGGACCATTTTGCAATTACTGGGACTCCTACAAACTAGCCACCGATTAGTTTTGATCATCTTTTCCAATCTATTACATTGGAATAAGAGTAAATATGGGGAAAATAGGAATTCTACCTGCACCAAGCCTAGGATTGCTCATCTCCTTGATGTGTACATGTGAGTTTTTTTAATTACTAAATTTTCAATTATTCGTATCGTTCCTAAGTTGTAAAATAAATTTCAATATTAGGCTTATTGGTATATTAAAGTTATTTGCACTATGTTTTTGTCTCACCATTATAGGACAATGTCATTATCTTATAATTACTTAAATCATGAACTCCGTGGACAGAGTGTGTCCAAAACAGGTGATTGAAGCTTTACATTGAAATATAAGGGATAGATTCTGTAACAATCTTCTTCTCGAGAACCCCTGGGTCAGAAGAGAGATAAGAAGGTGGTACAATATAGAATTCTGAGGTCGTGTAAATTCTGAAATAGTTCAAATCATGTCCAATATTATTTCCTATTTCATGGTTCACTTTGGAATGGGAAATAATATTGGGACACATATCTTTTTCGGATTATAAATTTGAAGGAGAACAATGGGGCTTAAGATTCTGAGCCGAGCACTGTATCCCATGTCAAAAACCTCTTGTCTTGATAAATATAGCGATCATATATTACAATTGTAATACTTTTCAAGAGTTACCAGGCATTTAAAAATCCCGAAGTTGCTATGATTGTATCATAGCCTTGCCACTCTTGTCTTTGAATGTTATAAATAGACAAAATGCACTCATATCAAATCAAATTTAATTTTCCCTCTCTTCACTCAACGCTTCTTGATAAATAAAAAAAATGTTAAAGCCAGGGTAATCATTTTTACAGGCAATTCAATGTGCACTAGAACACTCTAGTTTCAGATAATTAGTGTGATAATTTTCAGTTTTTATCATAAATGATATTCAGTATAAAGAATAGTCCATATATTCTCTATAAATAGAAAAGTCGACAAAGTTGATATAAGCTCTTCGAAAAATATTGACGGTCAATTTTTATTCGCTATTGACCGGAAAAGTTTTTCCGACTAGATTTTGATTTAAATTCTGATCGGAAAACGTAATGATACTGTCGCGATTTCTTAAACCAGAATATAAGGAACAAAAGAATCGCTAGCACTAGATCTACAGTCCAGATGCTGATAATTTATTTAAGAAATTCTAATTTTATTGATTCGTTTTTATAGAACAAAACAATTATTGACTGTGTTTTGGGGCAACATTAATTATGTTAGCCTCCTCGGAATGAAAAAAATTGTCCTCTCCTCCGCGTCGGGCAATATTTTATCCTTTGGAGGCTAGCATAGTCAATGATGCCCTCAATATATGAATATCATTGCAATTGAAATGAATAAACTTTGATATAACTTTTCCTTTTTCACAGATTTTCAGACCGTGTCCGGTTCCTACTGTTATTATTCATCGTACTATGCCTATTACTACTGCACGACTCTTTATACTAGTACCTATACCACGTAAGTATCAATATAAAATTACAGAGTGTACATTGTACGTAAAAAAATCTTTGGACTCTATCTCTAACGACGACTCATTGAAAGATATTTTTTCAAGCGTTGAAACCATGTAGATACTGTTTTTGCTATCTTACCTAAAAGGTTCTTGATTTTGCTTACTACTGCGCCAACATTAACTTCTTCACTTTATATCTTTCATGATTCGATTTTTTTCGTTATTGCTTCCATTCCCAGTATGATATCATATAATCTCTCTCTCCTCTCTGTGTGTGTGTGGGGGGGGGGGCGTGTGGGTGCAAGGGTGTGTGAGAGGGTGTTTGTGTGAGATTGTTTTCAAATTAGCAACCCTTCTAGCTTCCATCCTTCCAGTTTCTTCAATTCTCAATATCATTATGGAAACATTCAGTAAAAGTGCCCCTGTAACTTATTTCTTATGAAATAATGCATTTGTTTTATAACAGAGATGGCGGAGTGATTGCGGGGGCGATTGTTGGGGCTATCTTTGTTACTGTAGTGATTGTAGTAGTGGTCATTATAGTATGTAAGAAACAAGCGGCGACTCGAGGCCGTGTGATTAACACCACGCCAAGCACCACAGTCACCACCGTGCAACAACCGCCACCACCGCCAGCAGGTGACGTCATACATTTCCTTCTAAAAACATTTACAAATTTACTTAGAGCTATTATTTAGCCAGTGATTATTTTCCCTATTTGCAAGACATTGTTGTTTTCATTTTTTTTCTAAATAAATACACAAAATTCAATATAAATAAGGCTCCTGTTTCTTCTATCAAAAATGTTATATATCAATTTAATGATAATATTGGTTTAATTTTTCAGGCGGATATGGATACGGTGGTCCGGGAATGTCGCAGCCACCCAACCCTAATGCTGGGTACCCACCTCCCCCAAATAACTATCCACCCCCTCCAGGCCCCGGGGCTGGCTACCCACCTCCGGCCTACCCTCCGACTAAATACTAGACCCACGAAACACAACACCAATGAAGATGCGTGGGTCCTCTGGAAATACTTTATCTTTTGATTTTTTTATGTTCTGAATCAAAAAACTTTGTTTTTTATGCTTGAATTCTGTAAAGCACTTTGTATTCACGATTTCTTTATTTCAGTCCTTTAATGCGCCAGTCTTTTCGCAAATACTTTATTCTCGTACTTTTTGTTATGTATTAAAAGAAACATAAAGTATCTTAGAAATCCCCACTCTGTGTGAAAATTAACCAAATTCAGCCTAGTTAATGAGAACACAAAAAAAAGGTTTCACGAAAGTACATTCATGTACCAGTATGTCTAATAATTTAATTTTTGTCAGATATTTCAACCAGTCATGACGACTAAACCTTGTTTGGAAAAAAAATCTATACAATCAAGTTATTTTAGGAGTAAAAATTTCATGTTTGAAAAAGTACCACTGAAAGTTTCATGGTTTTTATTACTGTATGTATGTTAGATTTGATTCGTTCACTTTCTGTTGTTGCAAACTTTATCAAATGAGTACTGTCCTGTATTTCGATGTATTTATCGTTTTATATGAATTGTTTATGTTTGAGAGAACAAGTTTGTGTTGATATACTGTCTATGCTTTTAAATAGTAAATATTTTATTAAAGCATTTCTATTTAATTAATATCTTAGTATAAGAATCCTTTTTTGTTTTGGAATACACCAATTGCAATCTTTTGCATATATCGTAGTTTTATGGGGTCTGCATTAAGACCCACGACTTTCACCAGCCCTTATACCAAATATCAATATTAATTTTGCATATCTCTAGCTCGCTGGTCTGAAAAAAATGGATCTGCACCTAGATTACTAGCAGACCAAAAAGACAATGCTCCTTTTTTTCAAGGTCGGCAATGGGGAAAATACAGGTATACTGAAAATTGCACTACCAAAGCTTGATGGTCCCCCACCCACATCCCATTCCCGGGACCTCTAGCCACTGAATTATTTTCTTTATCCACTTATTCTGTGCTGACTTTCTTGATAGAAAAGCATGTCGTTTATTACAATGACCTTATTAAACTTACAGCGTCTAGATTTCACGTTTGTCTTCTTGGTACACTAAGCCGAAAAATACATAGAAATTTAAAGGGTGTCCATTTTACATATAAAATATGGTTGGAGGTATGGTCATTGTTTGTTTTACGAATTTGATTTAATTTTTCCCTGTGACCTACAAAAGGACAATTTGAAACTATGGAACATCGATAAACAATCAACTGATCAGTTTTCAGACATCTTCATAATTGTTTTTTTTCCTCTTTGGAACTGGAATGAAAATAATGGAAGTTGGAAATTTATCTCTAACAAGTATTTGGCTGCTCACCTTTTTATTGTGTACATGTAAGTTTTTTTATTTCTATTTTAAAATAAATTATTCATATCCTTCATAAGCTGTAAAATAACTTTTGATATAAGACTATTTTTTTTTTTTAATTTTAAATTTCTATACATATACTATGTTTTTGTCCATGTCCTTTAGTTATATCGTTTGAGTGTTCATATATAAAACGTCTTGGAGGGAAATTTGCATTACATAGGGCTTACAAAAGTTACTTTCCTAACTTAAATTATTAGAAGTGACAATTCCATCATTTTATCTATCAAAGCAAAAAAAAAAAAAAAAAAAAAAAAAAAACCACAGTCACGCACAATGAAAATTTGACAAGTATAAATTTCTTTTTAAAAAATAAATGTTCACTGGTCATGCAGCTTTTTCAAGGATTTTGTCCGTTTAATAAACATTTACATGTAGCGACAATGTCTACATTTTAATTAACAGTTAATCATAAACCATGTTTTAAATTTTGTAACACCCCCCCCCCTCTCTTAGTAAATTCAACATTTACAACACAAAAATAACTTTACAAAAGAAAACGAGGCTTTATAAAAATCTAAAGACAACAATGATAGCATTCAGATTTAGTATTCTGAGTTTAAATTGTTTCGCAAGGTAATACTTTTGTAACTTGTGAATTTTTTTTTTATTGTGACCGGTCGCCAGGGAATGCTCACTACTCCATGGCATCTAATCCCACCTCTGATCGTTTGCTCCGCTCCTTTTTTGTAATGTTTGATTGACTTTTGAGCTTGAATACCGTTCATTATCTCAGTACTGTACTTCTCATTATAAAGCACAAAATTTGAAGAGGATATAAAGGGGGGGGGGGGGCAATTTAATATAAAAAAAATTAAAAAAAAAAAAAAACCAATAGGCAGATATACCCCTCTTGTCAAGCTGGGTTATGATAAATAGGCTTTTATAGATTTTTTTCTGTTTTCCAGTTTTCCAAACAGTATCCGGTTCCTACTGTTTCTATTCCTACTATTATTCCTATTACTACTGCTACTATACCTATACCACGTGAGTAAACACTTCCATTTCATGTCGGATACATGTATTCTTTTTTCAAATTATGTATCTACAAAAAAATATATTTTAAAAATTCCTTTGGAAAAAAGTAACCATAGACTAATCATAAATTTCGATACATTTTTATAACAGAGGCTACGATGTGATTGGTGGAGCGATTGCTGGGGCTATCGTTTGTACGGGAATTGTGGTTTTTGTGATCATTGTAATATGCAAGAAACAAGCGGCGAATCGAACACGAGTGACTAATATTACACCAAGCACCACCGTCACCACTGTACACCAACCGCCACCACCAGCAGGTGACGTCATAGTTTATTCTTATTTCAGATATTTTCCTAATTGATGAAAGAGAATATTTAGCCAGGGACTTTTTAAATTTGCAATAAATGACCTTTGAAATAAAACATTTTTCTCTCCCTCAAAAATTTGTTGAGCTAACAAAGATATTGTTGAAGATTTTTTCTGTGAAATTTTTGCAAAATTTTCTATACTAATAACTTTAGATTTAACATACTAGTATTTAGACTTCTTTATTTTCCCTAGGAATTTTTGATAAAGCATACATTGTTGTATATTTTAACATACAGGTAGTCACACATAGGTATTAATTTCTGAAGCTTTCAGATTCATTTATTACTTTATTTTTTAAATATTATTATAATTTTTTTAGGTGGGATGTATAATATGCCCCCACCACCAGCCTATGAAAGTAACCCCGCCTACCCCCCAGGACAGTACCCACCGCCGCCCCCACCACCCACGGGAGCTGTATACCCACCACCAAATCCACCGCCAAATCAGTACGGAATGGCGCCGTACTGAACACAGGCCTAGGACTATGAAAATACTAGTGATTTATACATTGTATGTGTTTGATGAACTGGGAAATTGGTTTGCTTAATAGAATGTGTCTGGTGTGAAATACTGAAAATACTCATCACTGTAAATCGTATCTTTAAATTTGATTAAAACTTTATACCTTCAAACCGGATCGGAAGGTAATTTTGATTAAAATGACCACATACTTTTTTTATCGAAAGCAATAAAAAATATATTTATGTCTGATTACGTTTTGCTCATCAGTTTATGTTAACGACAATATAAAATCATATACATGTACAATGAACAAAGGAATTAGGTTATTTTTGGTATTGCGCAATCATACGGTTTTATATCGTTAAATTATTAGTGACGTACATATACATGTACATGAAGCATCATTTTTAAATGGGGGTGCCAGTCAGAGAGAAAAAAAATAAACGTACCTCGAAAAAGTTGAAAAGAAAAAAAAAAGAAGAACTCAAACTTGAAGGGGGGGGGGGGGGTAGAGGCCAACTTTAAACACTGTATTGCTAATGTTTTTTTATATACTATTTTAATTACGACAAAAATGTAAAATTACAACGCTACAGTTATACAGTTAGGCAACTAAATAGAGAGAGAGAGAGAGAGAGAGAGAGAGAGAGAGAGGTGTTGGTACAAATTGAGCTGTTTAATAGACACAGGCCTTTAGAGCGCTTAGAAAAAAAATTGAGGTGTTTAAAATATCTTTTTGACACACACAATTTTTAAGCGATCCATAGGTCTGTTCTGTTTGATTTTAAAGTAACATTTAAACTCAGTCATAAAAACAAAAACTGCGTCTACATTGATCATAAAAAAGGAAGAAATCAAATGTTGGGCTCGTTTTAAATTAATTGTCGATTTGAGAACTATTCCAGCCCTGTCAGGTATTTGTATAACGGGTCTGATTGAGATCGCTTTTTCAATTTCTATTCAGGTATTTTATTCATATGAAATAAAATTAAATGTCCTCATCTCCTTTTTCGTCACGGATGATTAGAAAATCGTGATCAAGATCGGTTCTCCGCGAGAGAAAATCGGCTTAGCTGTATTTAGATTTCTGTAAACATATGAGTGACGTCAACTGTGTGTTTATGTCCGTACCAAGGGGACAGCCAATGTTGAGATTTGTCTGACTGTGTCAAAATGGAGAAATTTAAGATTTGGAATTATCTTTTCCTGGTGCTTTTAACCTTGATTTTATGTAAGTTTTTGTTTTTGTTTTAATTACTTATCAAAGATTATATTTTTTGAATAAGCTTTACCAGTTAACGTGCAATATAAATGCATGTTTGTTACATGTATGTATATATTACGCCTATTACGTATATATGTAAGAAACATTTTTTGAAATATAATTATTCTCACTAGTCGATGTTATACATGTATAAAAAATAAAAGGAATTTCGAACTTTTCCCCAATTCCATTCATGATAAGGACGGGGGTGGGTGGGTAGGGGGTTACATATATACATATGTACCAATGCACAGTCATGTTACCAGAAGAGGCACATGAATCGACATACTTTATATAAAAAAAAAGAATCTAAGGATGAATTTTACGAATGAGCCTATTCCTTCCTGAGCTTTATTCAACCTGTTAAAATTCTTCAAAGTTCAGGTATAAAAATATACATACACATTGTGTAATTTTATCTTGGGGGAGGGGGGGGGGGGGGCTTAGGAATTAACAAGAAGCTTGAATAGCGCTACCTTTACAATGTATATTGTGTTTATGTTTGAGAGGGATTAAAAGGGTGAAATTTGGACCGATTTTCAAATGCGACATCGGTAAACTTTATATATATAGACGTATACTTTGAATATAAATGTATAGAAAGGCTTTTTATTAGTCCCTTTAAATCGCTGTCACATATATTTATTGGGCCCTGAGGTAAACTAGAATATATATGTTACAGGTATATATTTTATCTGTAAAATGCATTAGACAGGGTTTCTTTGGTAAAATAATGAAAATAATCCAGTTGTGGAGGGAACGGGTTTGACCTTGTCTAACTGACCTTGAGAGGTTATGATACTTTCACTGATCAGAACAGTCACAGCCTTAAAATGACAAAGATACCTTCGCTAGAACAATCCAACTCAATCTAATGAAAACTGGATCTTTGATCCGTACATGTACCGCGTACCTTGGCGTTTATATTTTTCAAAAGAAGAAAAACTACTAGCAGTTCTTTTCCTTTTGATTGACTATTTATTTGACGTTTTTGACATCTTTGGGTGTTTAGAATTGTGCCACTTTTTGCATGCATTAATTATTGTTTTTTAATCATTAAATTGCAGATATCAGTTATGTCACAGCGGGTTCCTATTGTTATTATTCCTACTACTACTACAGTTACAGATGCTACTATTACTATTATTATTACTACTAGTAAGTACAAATACTCCAAATATAATACTTATAAAAATTATAAAGTATAAATATACTAGGTACTTTGCATAAGATAGTATAATCAGAGTTATTACTACTCATCTCATCTGCCGCTGATTTTTTTCTAACAAAAATGATAAACATATGATATATAAAAGCTCCTCAAAAAGTTCATATAAGTCACTGCACAACTACATGTATATACATTATATTTTTATAATCAACATAAACTATTTCTGAAGAGTATGTTTCTGACTTGTTTTTTTTTCAGTGGTTCCGCGGGGACGATTGCCGGAGCTGTTGTGGGCGGACTATTTGGGCTGGCCTGTATAGTCGGAGTAATTGTCTTCGTCTGTGTTGTTGTGTGTAAATGTAAAACCACTGGGGTCAGAGGTCGTGTAGTCCAGCCTGGAACAGGCGTGTCTACAAACGTCACGTATATTAATACGCCAACGACATACAGTAAGTAGTGAATAAAATAATTATCATTTTACACTTGTCCCCTGATGTTTTGAGGAAGTTTTCATTATGAATCAAGATATTGGCTGATTAATAATTAAGTGAAACAATCAAATATCAGCAATTGCACCATATTGATACAAAATTGACCATTGTTTTTGAATGTGAAATGTTTGGGCTTTTTCTTTCCCAGATGGCTATGGATATAATGGGGCTCCACCCAATAATGTCGGACCCACGATGCCTCCAGCATACACGAACAACCCACCACCGGAATACCAACCCCCTCCCGCGGCCCCACAGTATAACGAACCCGCTTACCCCCCGAACCCTCCGCCCCAGTACAACAACGTGATAAATGCCCCTCCTCCTACAACTCATAACTACAGATAGAAAGAACTGAATATGGAAAGACATGTTGTATTTTTTGCAAGAGTGAGAGTCATTTCACACTTTATAAACAACTGTTATTTTTCCCCATTTTCTTCCAAATTTTGTGTCTTCTTGATTTTGATGCATAATTTTGATACATTTTGAAATTAATTTTTCAAAATATTATTTGTAACATATATTTGTTGTTGAGCCAAATTTTATTTAGGAATAGAAGATAAAGTTTTCGAAGTGTATTCGTCTTCGATTTTCATGTTCTTTTATTTATTTTTTTTTTTTGTTTTCGCACCTTAAAGTCAATGCAATTATTATACCTCTTTTTAATTTTGAGCTTTGCATATTGCTTGATTTCTGAAGGATAATAAAACTCTTAAGTTTATTTGAAAACATTGAATGTTTATGAATTTGCTAATGCAAAGCAAAAAGTGGTTACTTTTAGTCAGGTTTTACTGATTTATTGTCATTGATATGTGGAAAAAAATATATTTACTTACATTTCTATGTGTGTTGCAAGACAATTTATTGGTTTGAGATTAGGACTATAAAGTCAATAACGTTCGTGATATATTATCCTCTGTGCCAAGTTTTCATTTATTTTTCTTCCATAAAAAGTAGATAGACAAAAAGCAAACTGTTACGATTGTTAATGTTGATGAATATAATAAAAACAAAGCAAAAATATTTTTGTAGACCTTTATTATTTTATCCTCTCGGAACTGAGCTGGGGGAGATGTACATGTAGTAACGCAATCGTGTGAGAGGGTGTGTTTGTTTGTGGGTTAGATCCTGTCCGAAACGGAATCGACGTACAGTAACTTGCATTGGGCTCTATGTCGAATTCTGCATTGATCTATTGATAAGCTCTTTGCGAGGAGAATTTTTTGATTTGCAGTGCATGCTCTTATTTTATTTTTCAACAGGTACACAATGTAGTTATATTTAAGTAACCTGTACCAGCTGTCACCGGTATTATGCAGAATTGTGACTATAATACCATTGCCTTCGAAGGAACGGCTTAATTTTTCGATAAATTTTCAATTTCTCTAAAAGATAACATTGGTGCTTTTATAAATTAAGGAATTATTTTATTTCTTATCAGCATCGTTTCAAAGTAACTTGTATGTTAAGATGAATATAGATATTAAATAAAGCTTAATTTTACATTTTCAAACTAAACATCAATTATTATTTTTAAAAATGATTAATTTTAGAGTAATTGATCCAGAAGGAGAAGCGGACATCCTTAATTAACAAACACTTGAATGCAGAAATTTGATTCCTTTAAATTTTTTGATTTGAGTTATTTCTTTCCTTGCTTTACATTTTTAATTGACATACTTGTACCATATTCATTTTTCGCTCTAAAGGGTTTTGTTTCAACAGAAAAGGTTGCACAAGAGCTTAAAATGTATATCAAATTCGCTAAGGGTGAACAATAATAAACAACAGTGCATAAATGATATATGTCTACAACAAAAACTTAAAAGCATTGGTACCTGATAACAAGGAATTAAAAACTTGACAAGGAATTATTCAGAAAATCCAAGAGAAGATTTGGTTTAATTCAACTATGGACTGAACAATATTAACAGTTTTCTTTGCTCAGATATTAGGTAAGAGAATTGGTATTAGAACTTAAGGTCAACAGGGAAATCTTCACAATCGGAGACACACATGCAGGTCTTGCTTCAAAAAATAAAATGAAAAGGGGGTAACAACATCACTAAGTCAGATTCCTGTGCTAAAAAGTGTATACATGTGTATAATGTAACATGACCGGGTCTGTCTAATAATACATATACATGTATGTTTTGTTGTATGGAATTGAGATGGGAGAAGTTATTAAGAATTAAACAACACAATGACAAGAGGCACATGGGACTTATCGCTCAACTGAGCACATTGGCTGAGAAATAAGCAAAGACCAGTCCAGTTTTGAAATAAGTTTACATGGAATGGGGGGGGGGCTAGAATTTTAAATTACCTGATGATACTTCCCCATGAAAAACAAAATGGCTTAATTTGCTGTTCTTGAAAAAAAGATTTTTATCTCTTTTATTCATTTGCAAAAAATTAACCCCTGTTGTGGCCAAGCCCTATCCCTGGGAGGGGGGGGGGCATTTTAACTAATTTGACTTTTCACCTGAGGATATCTCCATATCAATATGATTAATCAATGTTTTCCTATTCTTGTAAAAAAGTTCTTTCCATAGATATTCCTGTTTATAACTTTGATCTCTTTGTGCCCCATTCCACCCCGGGGTAATTATTTGAACAAACTTAAATCTACACTACCTGAAGATGCTTTCAAATAAATATAACCAATCATGGCTTTGCTATTCTTGAGAAGAATAATTCTAACAATATTTTCCTATATATTTCTGTAAAAAAACATTTATCTCCCATTATAGCCCAACCCCACCCCTAAAGGTAATGATTTGACCAAATTTGAATCAATAAGACCTGAAGACGCTTCCATATGAATATGATTAATCATGGCTTTGCCTTTCTTAAGAATATTTTATCATTATTTCCTATACGTGTCCACAGATGTTAAACGATGCACCACCATTGTGGCTCCACCCCACTACAGGGGGTCATGATTTGAACAAACTTGAATCTACACTTTTAGAGGATGCTTCCATATAACTATGACCAATAATGACTATTCTGTTTTTGAGAAGACTTAACTTTAAACTAAAAGATTTTTCCTAAGTGTTTTTGTTAAATTTGATACCTCATTGTGCCCCCTACCCCCGCGGGTCATTATTTGAACAAATGTTAATCTACACTATACACGAGGATGCTTCCACTCGAGTTTCATCTTTCCTGGTCCACTGGTTCTTGGGAAAAAGTTTTTTTTTAAAGATGCCATTCATTTATCTCTAATTCATAATTATATCCTCTTGGACGAGGGTTCGGCCCTTAAATCCTCCTCAACGAAGGATACTCTGAGCCAAGTTTGTTTGAAATCATATTTTATTAATGCAATCTCAAGTTTCGTGTCGGTTAACCTATATTCATGAGATTTGTCTTCGTATTGACCAATTTTTATGCCCCCCCCCCTTTCGAAGAAGGGACGGCATATTGCTTTGCTGCTGTCTGTGGGTTGGTCGGTCAGTCGGTCCACTTAGTTTTTGTTCATTTTCGTTACAATCGTACAACGTTGCATATATTGAAGAAAAATTTAGTATACAAAATTATCAGATAAATATCTACATGTGTAGCACAAGCTCTGTTTTGGGTACGATCGCACCATTTTGACAGATTTGTGCCCCTTTGACTTGGAAAATGTACAGTTTTGGGGGGAGGGGGGCATAAGTGTTTTACAAACATCTCTAACCTGGTCTTATTTTGTTTTTTTTTAAACAAAATATAGTTTATGTAAATTTGTTTTTATAATATCTCAAAGTGTTAGGAAACTTAATTTGATTTGCCATTTGAATACCACTGAGTAGCTGACGCTGAAAATAATCTTTATTAATTGATTCCTGTAGAATAATTTTAAGTGTTTGGTGTTTTTAAAGCGTTCTCACAAAATATCGTAGCACCACGGTACTCAGAGAATTTGAATTTAGGAACACTTTTTAACAATTCACACAGCCCATTAATGGAATCTTAAAATAATATGCATTTTAGAGGCAAAAGAAAAAAAAAATTAAATTTTAACCTTCACTCATTTTTATGTCCCCGTTATAAACGGTTCGGGGGTATATAGTTTTTGTCGTTTCCGTCCCTCTATTTGCTCCCTGTCTTTTTGTCTGCAAAAACTAAGATAAACATTACCCATTACTTTTGACTGGGTGGAGCTATGACATTCATTTTTCACATAACTTTTTGTGTATTCCTTGAAGCATAACCTTTCTTTACCACCAAATTTGACCTTTTGACCTTGGAGTTTGACCTACTTTTTAAAAACTTTTACCTTGGCCATAATTGTTTTTGAACGGTTAGGGCTAGGGCTTCCATACTTCACATATGTAAACCTTGTGACATTAAATCTTTCTAAAGTTTCTTAAGAATCTAACAATTTTGAACCTTTGACCTTGGAGTTTGACTACCTTTCAAAATCCTTGGGCATAACTTTTGAAAAGGTGGGGTTAGGGCTTTCATACTTCGCAACTGTATTTCTTGTGAGAAGACCCTACTTTAGGTAACAAAATATTTAATTTGCATTTAAGGAAAGTTTGATTTATAATCTATGTTGCCATACGGGGACATCAGTGTTTCACAAACACATCTTGTTATTCTTATGATTATCTCCGTTGTTTATTACATGTATTTTGTCATTTATCATGTTTATGTCTTCATTAATTTCATTAATTTTTAAATACATTTTCGTACAATCTGTTATAAACCATTTATGTACATTATTTTGCAATTTACTAAATGCCTTGATTATTTATGTAAAATTAATATTTTGTAATTTCTAATTGTGCAACATTGCTCATACATGTAAATAGACTAAAATTGAAAAACAAGCAAAACAAATATGCAATTGTTCCTTGACATTGTTTTTAAAAAATCGTTTTTGGTCATTTCACAGGTAATTTAATTATTTTTTCAGATAGACAGGGACACATGTAAATAATCTACTAAGTACATGTAACTAAGTGACGCTTTCACATGCTTCAACACAACTGAAATAGAAATCATAGACATCAACTGATAAATACAACTTACAATAAAAAATACATGTAGCAACAACAAATCCAATATAATTGAACAAGGTACAGTTTATTACAAGGCAAAGTTTTATTACAAATTAAGCCATGTATATTTCTAAAATGTGAAAGTATTATAAAAGAATTAAAATTCATTCTTTCTAATTCATGAGAATTCCTTGCAGTAAGAATACACGAATCGTTTTTCTCATATAACCTTTTAAATTCTAATTGTAACGTCATTAACTTAACATAAAAAGTTGCTGAAGACATCAATTTTCAGTGGAATTTTCTTTTAGTAAACAGACGCCCGCATAATTAGAGCGTCTGCTCCAGAGTCGCGAAGTAAGGAGTCAATCCTTACGTCGCGGGTTCGAATCCCACTGTAGGACCTTCCGATGAGACCGTATAAATCGAGGTCCCGTGTCGTAGTAGGTGCTGGCACGAAAAAGGTCCTTTCATGCTGAATGGCCCCGAGTGCCGAGTATTGGACAAAATTTGCAGCTCTCCACCGGCAAGTGGTGGCGTCTCCATATGAGTGAAAAATTCTCGAGAGGGATGTTAAACAATTTACAATCAATCTTTCAGTAAACAAACTCTGCCTCCGTCGCCCACAAAGATTTTGAGATATGTAATTTTCAAAGTAGTTTACATAATATATCCAAAAATTAAAGTGGGCGATGGTGGCAGACATTATTTTCTAAAAAAAAAATAGCATAGAAACGAGTCATTCTGAAGCTTTCCTGCATTAAACTTACAAATGTACCAAATTGATGACTTCATATTTCCAGAACGGCCCTCCTTCATGCCATATTCTATAATGATATATCATATTCATTTCAACTTTGTTAAAGCCAATTTCATAGCTTTTTAAGAACATTAAATTTTTGGGGCACAATAAAGCCCAAACTAGCTGTACCTTCTTTTTACCTAGATGCATGTTAAGATGCGTAGAATTCAAAATAAAACATTCTTCAATTTCAGACAAGATGGAGTATTATAAATTAAATGGATTGATTAACTTTAGAGTTATTGATCCCAAAGGATTGACGGACATCCTCAATTAACAAGCAATTGAATTCGAGATTTTGATGAGATAAAAAATGGCATTAATACGAGTTTTCTTTTCCCCACTTTCACATATTTCATGAACATACGTGTACCAGGTACATTGTGCATTTTTTTTTTATTTAAAAGAGAAAGTTGCGCAAGGGCTTTAAATGTCCTCCATGTTTACCATAAGTAAACAATAATACATCCCACTGCACACCCGAGTTATCTCTGAAATCTAAATTTAAAATCACGCCTAAAACAAGGAAGTAATAATGTGACGAGAAAATTTATCAAAAATCAAGTCAAGAACTCGTTATACTCTATCCATGGATTGGAAACTATTGACTGTTGTCTTTGCTCACATTCTAGGTAAGAATATTTTTTGTTTGTGTTAAAACTAAACTCAAAAGGTCGTCCGAGTTTTCTACACAATTAAGACCCATTAATTACACAGGTGCATGTAGTACTTTTAGTACCCCCTACCCTGTCTCTTTTCTTTTTTTAAGAACTTTTATGAGACACAAAAATAGAATAATCACCAGGCTATAAAACCTATATTCTGATATAAAAATTCCATTTTTAATTACTTATTGGAAAAGGGGGAGGCAGGTTACACATTCCATTTGTCAGTACATGCAGTGCATATTAGTCATAAAATATCTATACAAAATAATTTCACTTTATTATGTGAGACAGGTAAGCTGTAAACATCTGCATGTCTCTACATGTACAAGTTTGTGTAGATGTTGTAATCGCTTTAGTATGAAAAGGAATTTGCGGATGGATGATACGGTACATTTATGGGTAGATTCCTTTATTAAGGTCTAAATCAATATCGAATTGATGTTGTAATTCTTGTTAAAAGGAATAAAAAAATATGAAAGGAGATTATACATGTACCTTACTTTACTTTGTTATTCGTTGTCGTAATAAACTTTATTGTCCTTCAGATCGGAAAATAAAAGTTCGAACATGCTGAATTGGTAGCCCATATATACCTATATTTACATTTGCAAATGTTTTCCTTTATATAACACTACTGAAAGCAAGCGGTTTTATAACTGTATAAATACAGGTACGGGGTCAAGAGGTCATAGATGTTCGTATGGATAAACGTTCGACGTAATTTCTCTGTGACGTCATAAAGGGTCGACGCGCGTTCAGTGGATTACATACATGCCGTGGGGTTTAAAAAATAATGCATTTCACACGTTAAAAGTCACAATCAGGCAAATTTAAAGTATGAATAAGTCACAAATGTAAATATAAGTAATAAGGTATCATTTTTTGAGTGTTATTGGGATGTAAAACGGGTTGGCACATGATCAAATCTTCCATAAAGCCCTTCGGGCTTTATGGGATTTGATCACGTGACCAACCCGTTTTACATCCCAATAACACTCAAAAAATGATACCTTATTTCTTAAGTAAATGCAATTAATATCTATCATAAAAAAAGTACTGTTACATAAGTCAAAACATTATAAAAAGAGAGAGAAATGTTTTTTTTAAGAATTAAAAAAAAATATAATAATTAAATATCTGTAATTTGAAAAGATAAAAAAAAAATTGCCATTAAATATGAAAGCATTACATGTGCGTCAATTAACAAAATGTCATTGTTTTTTCCCGTCTGTTTTTATATTTATAACAGTACTGTCTTTTAAAGAACGTGTACCTATATTCAAAGCATAGAAACGTACATGTATCTGTACCTATATTCAAAGCAAAGAAACCCATATTTAAACTAGATGCTGTCATGAGACAGTAATACCCGCACTAAGGTGTTTGCCTCTAAATGCACACCTCTTCATATTGGGCTTTACCAAGGAAAAAGTCAATATAATTCAATAATTTACATATTACATGTTTTATCAAATTGAGCATAATATGCTCAGGTGACCATGTGACCCATGGGCCTCCATCTAATAAGTATTTCATATCCTTAATTCATTACTAGTCTGAATTAAACAACAGAATTAATTAATGATGTAAATAAGGTTTGATAAAGGGGGGGGGGGGCTATAAATTTTTGGCACATAATTGGAACTTTTTAAATCTATTTTCTCATATCTATAAATCAACAAATAATATTATTCAAATTAGTGTAAAGAGTTTTTGATGAATTTTTCAAAATGTGCAAAGTTTATTTATATTTGACAAGGCAGTTCTAAACTTCTTGAAAGCTGCCATATATACACAATCAATTTAGTCAACCCCTACCCCTCTCCCATCAACACACACACACAAACACACCTAATTTGCCTGTTTTTGGAAATAGGCCTAGATGGAAAGTTAAGATAAAACATCTTTCGTAAGTTATAATTTTCAATTTGTTCTTGCACTATACATGTATTTGAACACCTGCATCACATTGGGCTTCCGTCACGTACCCAACTTAAGTACTAGTTTTACTATTGGCATTATCATTTTTAGATTTCACTGCACGTGCAGTAGGCTACTAGTGTGGTATACACATCATTGCATATAGGAATTATTTCATTTTGTGTTTTAATTGGATTATATTTCATGAAGATTACAGGACCTAAATAATGACAATCGGTAAGTACAAAGTTTTGGTATAGATTTGGGTAAAATAGTCTGAAATGCAAACGGTTAGGTTCAAGTTTAAAGGATCAAAGGTCATCCGATGCTTTGACATTCTGAAGAGTTATCCCCCGTTATCAACGTTACATTCAGTTACAAGATCCAGAATTTTTTTCTGGGACTGGGAGGGAGGGGGGTTTCCAGACAAGAATTTCCTGAGAAGCTAAAAAAAAAAAAGAAGTTATGTTTGGGTCTGTTTTCTAAGGTGGAGGGACACTTAGGGCATACAAAGTCATTTTTATTTCCTCCAGTATATATTATAGTCCTGCAAATTCCAAGGAGGGGGGGGGGGGTGAGAGGGCGATCAGCCAATCCACTCCCTGTCCCTGTAATGACAAATGATCATGTGACTCCTAAATAGTTGGAAAGTTTTTCCATTTGACTCTCCATAATTTTGTTTCTTGTGTTATTATGTTATGTAAATTTAATGGTATAAAGGTTATGAATTAACAATTGGAGGTCATTCCCACTCCTAATGAGCTGGAAATGTTCACAATATGACTGCATTAAATTAAATAAAAGTGCATCAATGATAAGATTACTTGACATTTTTTTCATGAATTTGTGTCAACTAGTGTTGTCACGATGATCGATTTAAAATCGATGATCGGTCGGCAAGGCTGTCCATTTTAGACAATCGATTCGAGATTTGAACAATCGATTAATCGGTATATTTCTGCACATATCTTTTTTTTTTAAAAATAGTTTTCTCACTTTTATTTCATGAACAGGCTCTTGTTATCAAAATATATATATTCCAAGTGTTGTCATTTATTTAATACCTATTTTAAAATACATGTATACTTAAAATCTGTTTAGATCAATCGCAAATAATGATAATTGTATTTCTAAACTGAAGAAACTAAACTACTTGTATAAATGAAATATATCAGTTTTCAGTATTTTGGGGAATTCACTTTTCATTTCATGTGGAATCACAAGGATTTGCAATATTAAATGTCTTATATCAGTTTAAAAAATTAATTCCATATACTAGTATATTTTAGATGATCATGTAAATTAAAACCTGATCTGTCAATGCTTATGTTTCCCAGGCCAAGTAAATCCTAATCATTCAAAAATCTGTATTACTGATATTGTTAATCAACTGCATATATACTGTTTTTAGAATTCCGATCTGTACAATGCACCTCTATACTTACATGTACATTATTTAAAAATAAAATTCTAAATTTTATATGAAATATAATGCCTATTTTATGCGAAGGGTTACCGATTCGATTATTGGCCGATGATCAGTTGGTTAGGGTCAACCGATGCTACTGATTAATCGATTCTGATTTTCAACCGATTTGACAACACTAGTGTCAACTTATCTTCTGGCGGCGGCCTAGAATAGGAATGAAAATCATTCAGAGATGGACCACATTAAACTATTTGTATAATTTTTTTTTTGTAATACAAGTAGTAGTTTGCATACATAAACAAACAGGGGTCTGGGAAGGGGTGAGGGGAAGGATCGAGTTAATATTTCTTTATGTCTTAATGGTTGAAAACTCCTAAAATGAATGTTGACCTCAAATCTAACTTGTCCTCATTATTTTTCAAGTGGTGGTGTCTCCATACGAGTGAAAAATTCCTGAGAGGGATGTTTAATAACAAACAAAATGACATAAAAACACAATATTGATTTGCGTTAAGAAATATGCAGGGGATTTTTTCCATCATAAATCTTCTTCTCAAGAACAGCAAGGGCATTATTGTCCCCCGTTTTGGGGAAAGGGAGGGGACGTTAAATCTCATTTGTCTGTCAGTTTGTACATTTTATTGACAGCTTTAACCTTGGTCATAACTTTTGAATAATAAGAGATACTGCTTTCCTATTTCACATGTACATTACCACAAAACTTTCTAAATATACTATGATTTTTTTAACCCAAGTGAGACCTTGACCTTAAAGTTTTACCTACTTTCCAAAAAATAACATTTTAAATTGATCAATTTGAAAGAGAAAAGAAAGGGCATTCAAATTATACATGTTTATTACATGTGAAAAGACTTTTCTAAATATATCATTACTTTTGACTCTGTGACCTTGACCTAGAAGTTTAACCTACTTTTCAAAAATATTATATTGTATATATAAATTTTGATTCAAAAGAGATATGACTTTTATATTTGACATGTACATTACCTGCAACAAAATGTTTCAGAACATGCTATGATTTTACCCCTTTGACCTAATTTTCAAAAATTGATATATGATATGGGTGCATATTCAATGACATAATATGCCATAAATTATGGCATCCCATTCACTAAATCACAGAAAGCAGAGGACAACAATTCTTTGAATTTGCTTGTATAATCTTGATAGATGGAAACATCGTCATATAATGTAGATTCAAGTTTTTTATGCCACACCATGATTAGGAATACATGTATAGTTTTTGTCATGTCCGTCCTCCACCCTTCCATCTGTCTTTCCATTGGGCTCAAAGAAGCTTTCTACATATTTTTATCAAAGTTCATATGTTGATGCATACTGATGTAAATATCCAACTGCAGCAATATTTTTTGACTTTGACTTTTCCTTTGACCTTCATGTAACTTTTCTTTAAAGAGGCTGGGTGGTTGCGGCCATTTTTAGACTATTTTAATCTCCTTTAGAAGAAGAGCTCCATATAAAGGTATAATAAAAATGATAAAATGATCAAATTTTAAAACTAAAATTTATGAAATTTTTTTTTTTGCCAAATGATAGTTGACGGCTTAAGATATCATATCCCCAAATTTAAGTTATAACCGGTGGTTAATAAAAAAATAATTTGTTGACCCCCTAGCCTCCTTAAATTACTGTTTAGCTTTATTTTAAAGAAACCATTCAAGTTGTGTAATGAAACTTTACATGATGATACATACTTATGTAAGCTTTACAATACTTCACTCTTTTTTACCTTGACCTTTCCTGTGACCTTGACCTCACTTTTCTAAAATTAATGTCTAAATCAGTTTTGAGTAAACAATTCAAAATATATTTATCAAACTTCATATGCTGATACATACTGCTTGAGAGCTATTAATACATCAACTTATTTTGACCTTGAATTTTCCTTTGACCTTGACTTCACTTTTTAAATTTGTGTTTATCTAAGTTTTAAATAAACCATTAATTATAGTTTTATCAAACTTCATATGCTAATAGTAAATTCAAACTGATGTAAGCTTTTCAACTGCAACAATTAACATTTTGGCCCTTACTTTCCTTTGACCTCTCTTTTCTTAGAAAAAGTGTTAAGGTCAGTTTCATTAAATCATTCAAGATATTTTTATCAAACATAATATGCTGATAACTTCATCAAAAACTTCACCTTGCACATTCCTCTGACCTTGACCTCCATCCTTTTTAATTTGTATTTTGCTTAGTTTTAAAGAAATAATTTAAGACATTTTTATGTTTAGCATGCACTTATACATAATTTGGTGAGGATTTATAATCTATATCAAATTTATTTAGATTTTAGTTTCAATTCTAAAGAAACTGTTCAAGATATTTTCAACAAACTTAATACGCTAATACAAATTTTCCTGTAGCATGAGTAATATACATCCAGTGGGACATTCATGTCCTATAGACATATTTCTAGTTTTTCAAATCATAACCTCAAAGGCTAGGTCAGGCCACAATTAGACATTAAACATTCCGAAACCTTACTGCACATCTACATGACACCACCAACCATCTCCTCAAAGATGATTAGACTACTGTGTAAAATGTAAGAGGAGTTCAGGGAAGACGGGGCTTTTTGCATAAAAAACATCATTTTTCGACCCCCATTTGACCCCCCGGGGCAAAATC